ATCTGATATCTTTCATTTAAAATATTTCTAATGATTTACTTTATTTCTGATTATGCATGATATTCTCCTCTTTGAATGCCTTGGAATTTCTTACTATTTTATAAACACTGAGAATTATGGAGTTGACAACTGGACTTTGTTTTACTCCTTTACAGAACGCTGGATTTTATCTTGCCATGAGTGAGAACTGTAGGTAGAAGACAGCTTCTTGTCTGCAGAATGGCTTGGTCCTTGACTCAATCATTGCACTCCAGGTGTCTAGGGGTAACACATTCATAAATATGAAGAGATATCTGGGCTAGTGCAGACAGAATGGTGAGGCATGCTTCCAATATCAAAGAATGCCCCTTGGACTGACCTTGACAACCTCGGCATTCCAAAGAATGATGTGTTCAATTTATCCAACAAGGCTAAGCATCGGCAGTTTGCAGAACAGACATGATTGTCTAGAAAGTAACTCATAGGGGACACTTTGCAATTAGAGAGGCTGATATGGAGGCAAGAAAGTCAGGGCTCTAAAGAACAAGAAGTAACCACTGACTCTATAGAATAGTTACTACTCACAACTGAAGGTAACAGACCCAATGCCTGACTCACTTTTCTTCACCTCCAGAGAGCTGTCTCCATTCATCATCCTCTTAAGACTTTTTGCTTCTGGCAGACAATGGAGTCTTCACAGTTTATCTTGTGAATGTCCCTGCTTCTAAAGCCATCACTGTTACACTTTTTGGAAATATCAAAAGTTCAAGGAGGAAATACTACTTTGCATAGTATATATTGATCCTTATCCTTTCAAAAATAATATTTTATTTATTTATTTATTTATTGCAGAACCGGGGATTGAACTCAGGCCCTTGAGCTTTCCAGGCAAGTGCTTATTCTACTAAGTTATCTCCCCAGCCCCTCAAAAGTAATAATTAAGGAGGTTCTCTAAAGGATGTCTTATCCTTCCATGGCTGATTATTACAGTTACTTTGTGTTGGTTTTTTTTTTTTTTGGTATTTTTTTAGGGAAGGGTCTACAGAGTGTTCAGGGTCTCACTATTAGATTGGATTTATAGTAATCTGCCTGTTTACAGCCTCCCAAGAGCTGGGATTACAGGCGCACACCACCACACCAAGTCTCAACTGCCATCTCAGCACGCCCTAGGAGAAGGGTCAGCATGGCAGGCCCGGGGATCAAACTCCTGGCCCCTATGCCTGCTTGCAGGTGCTTTAATCTGCTGAGTTGCTTAGCTAGCCCTCAGTTACTTGGTTTCTTATAGGCCAATTTCTCAGGTATATTAACTCCATGCTGATGTAGGCATGACAAGCTCCACTAGAACCAATAGCCCTAGGAGAACCAATGGTCCTATGGGAACCACCAGCCCTACTTCTTCCTCTCCAGTTCTCTTTGTTAATGTTGTTAGCAACAATGCTCACATGGGCCCTCCACACCCAGCACCATGCTGATTCAGTTCAGCTCACTGTTACAAGTTGATCACCAGTTGTCAGTCTACCATCCTGAGTAAAGCACAATATGCCCAGTTAAACTTGAATTTCAGCTGAGTAAGTTATTTTATAGGATAGTTATGTTCTAAACATTACAAGGGCATTTATTCTATATTTTTATTTGCTAACCATCATAAAAAGTTAAATGAGTTACTATGTATGGTTTTCTTGTAACACCCAGCTGAACTGAACCAGAGTAGTGCTGGGTGTGGGAGGCCCAACTGAAGATTGTTGCATAAGAGGGAGAACTGGAGAAGTGAAGCTGTTGGAAGCTATAGGAAGCTGCTGGTTTTCCTGGAGGAGTTTGTCATGCTGGCTTTCCTGATGAACTCAGCTGTCATCATCCTCGGAGGAGATCATTATCACCGAGGATGGCTGTGGTACCTTTCAGGGGAGCCTTGGTTCTTTGAGCATTACTTCCTGGCTCCAGGGCAGATCTCTCAGCCTGCTAGCATAGATAATTCATCATGTTGGTCAAGATTTTCTAGCTCCCACCACTGATCTTTGGTCCTTCCCAGTGTAGATCCTTGAAACAGACTTGCATGCGACATTGTCATGGGCTCTAAGTCTTTAAATTTATTTATTTATTTATGTGTGTGTGTGTGTGTGTGTGTGTGTGTGTGTGTGGCCAGCTCAGCCCACCAGGGGGCGGCACTGGCTGGCATGTGGTGCTGGGGGAATTGAACCGTGGTCCCTGTGTTTTGCTTAGCTTAGCTTGTTCTAAATAGGTGCTTTAGACCACTGAGCCATCTCACCAGCCTGGCTCTAAGTCTTTAGCTAGACTGGTGCAGTACATTGCTGTGAGATCCAGGCCCTCACATGGGTTCTTTTGGTCTTAGTGTGTGGACAGATTTTACAGATTTTCTGTACTCTCTTTGTATATGACTCTTTGGGTAACTATTATAAAATATTCTTATAAATTAAGTGTCCTTTATTGTTGTCCTTGCAAAGCCCTACCACACTATATATGAAACGCTGTGAATAAATTTGGTATGTAATAATCACTCAGTAGTTAACAGTCTTTTATTTTAATGGTGCCAAGCTACATCTCCAGTCCCCAGTAGTCATTTTGTTTGCCATATACACACATGCTTTTGAAGGACACTCTGCTATGACTTATAATGTTCTTACTTCATTTATAGCTCCTTGCAAGTGCACTCTCTCTGACCACTACCTAACTCTACCCTTCAAAATAGCAAGGCTGGACAGGTTTGGGGGCAGGAATGGTCATAATTATGTCAAGAGTATGCATCTGACCTAAGAAAGCTCCTAGACTGGATATCTTATCAAAAAGAGAGCTGTAAAATAGGGATGACAAGGATTAGGTAAGCCAGTTAGAATTTAGGTTGAAGGAGGGAATGGCTCACCAAGTGGCAAAAGAAAGAAGACCTGATAAGCAGAGATGAGAAAAACTATCATGAGAATTACTTTGAAGCAGATAGGAAGAGAGCAGTTACCTTAAAAATGTTGAAATCTTGACAGTTTTTCCAGCTCTGGTGCTCATGTAGTCTACAATAAACTCCTTTTTGCTGAGAGGGCAGAGGTGTGCTTCTGCCCTTTGCAAATGAAACATACATGCTTGCTACAGGCACACAAGTAAGCATCCCTCCCTCATTTAACAATTCCATGGTTAGCACTGTTAGAGAAGATGGAGATACAAAATTGAAAAACACCCTCTCCTAGAAGACTATTAAGTATGTGGGGCGGCATTGGTTATAGACAAGGGACAATGCATCACTCACTAAGTGGTTTTATGACAGTAAACTATGAGATGGGAAGACTTTTCCCTGTCTTTCCCCTCCAGGCATTAAACTGCACTTGGTAAACTTGGAGTAACGTAAATGCTCTAGAAATTACAAGCGCAGAAAGACAGGTAGAACTTGAGAAGCGAAAGCTTTAGGCAGTATAAGAGACAAAGCCTAGAGTTTAAGGCAGTACATCCACAAGCACTATATTTTTTTAAAAAATGCATCACATACATGTGTGTACCATGTACACATGTAACAAGACACAGCAAACTTAAGTGGTTCTACTCCATTTGTGTTTAGAAGACAACCAGACAAGTTCCCACTGATAAATAGACTGACTCAGGTTTTCTGATCTTTTAAATATTATGAATGGGTAAGTTAAAGGACAAAAGAAACTACTAGTTTAAGTATGCATCAGGAAATAAAAGTACAATAAAGACCAAGAACCCTAGATGGAACATTCACTAGAAGACTGCAGTAGTGGGTAAGGCCAGCAAGGGAAGGTTTTCAGCATTTGCTGGCTTGAGATCTGCCAGATAGCTCATTGCTATCAAATAAGCTGAAAACTCATAGTGCCTCCTATTGGAAGCCAGAATGTTGCTTATAAAATGGATTAACTCACTGCCCCCATAAGCAGAGGACAATTCCTTCTCTTGTTTGAAGAATTCACAATGCCCCTCTCTCACCCTAGCTCTGGCTCCTTAATATACATGATTATACACAGGAGTCTCTGACTGGGAAGAGTGTGACTCCAAGATCCAAGACTCCCTCTTTGGTCAGTCATTCTAACTAGCTACACCTCTTCTTTGCAGAAAAGCATCCCTTCCTTATTGACCTAGTGGTAACAACACTACCACTAGGGAAAGGAAGAGGCTGGGGACATGTCCCTAGATAATGAGGGAGGATGGGGCCACTGCAGTGTAAATGTAGGTTCTCTTGGTAATTTAAGTCTTGGGTTCTCCAAGCCTGAAAGCAGCTGGCCACCATCTTCTGCAGAACAAACCTCTAGGTTGGAGACTGTTAACAGGTTTCTTTTGAGCTGTGAGTATATTATCCACCAGGGATTGATGCAGTCACTGCCCTTCACTTTCATGGCCTATGAGGTGTAGTGAGACTGCAGTGCCATAGAGGGACAGCACAGTGGGCCTTTGGGGAAGTGGCCACAGGGAAGGTTTGGGGGTGGGTGTCTGCATGGTAGTCAATGATCTTCTCCTGAGTACAGTAAATACAGTATTCTATATCATATGAAACACTTCATCACTATGAAAAACTACAGAAATTGAAGCCAAGTTTTAAAGGACCAGAAAACTTTGTTCCTGTCCAAATGGTCAGTTATCTTCTCACAGAGAACCAATGGTAAAATAAAGAGTAAAAGAAGAAATCAAGACTGTATTTTAGAAGCTGGGTATAGTGGCACATGCCTTAGTTCCAGCACTCTTGGAAGCTGAGGGAGGAGGAACACAGGTTGGAGCCCAGATTGAATATTTTAGCAAGGCTATAAATAAATAAATAGATAAATAGGCTTGAGATGTAGTTCAGCACAAAGGCCCTGGGTTCAGTGCAAAGTGTCACCCCACTCCTGACACACAGAAAGCCTATTTTGTTCAATCCTAATTTGATCTTATACTTGGCTGTCTAAAAAGGCATCTGGCATTTCCAGTCAGGCTTCCTCAGTGAATAAATCAGACCCTGGCTGCTGACCTGTTAACATCCTTGGCTGCACTCACAACTCTCCACAGAATTTCAAAGCCAGGTTAAGTAGGTCTTGGGCAGACTGGAGAAGAAAAGGCTGCATTTGCTTGGAGAACGCTCCATGAAGTGCTAGAGAAGCTGACTCAGGATGAGAAAGAGTTTAAGAAGTTGGAAGCTCACAATGAAGAAGAAAGAACTCCCTGGAAGAAACAAATACAGGAGGAGATACAAAATGTCCAGGATGAATTTACAAAAATGAGAAACATCCTGGACTCTGAGGAGAAAGAGCACTTGCAAAAACTGAATCAAGAGGAAGAGGATATTCTGAGGGTCCCGGCCGAGTCTGAAAAGCAGCTGGCCCAGAATGCCCAGTCCATGAGGGAGCTCATCTCAGATGTGCAGCATCAGCTGCAGGGGTCAGCGATGGCCATGTTGCAGGGTGTGAAGGAAACCATAGAATGGAGTAAGTTATTGACCATGCAGAAACCAAGAACTTGCCCCAACAGACAAGATGGTGTTCCAAGCTCCTGATCTGAGACAGTTTCTCCAATGTCATCAAGCTTTTGTGAACCCTTCTCCGAGCAACACTCCAAAGATTACTTTTTCTGTAAATCCATGGCTGACTTCCCAAAGGAAAGGAAACTACCAGGTCTTTAGACCTAACAATCCATTGCAGTATTCACAGGAAGTGAACTACTGGGATTAAGTGATGGAGAATACTTCCAAATCCCCTTTACCTTCAGTGTTCTTTGTTGTCAATCTAAATGTGGCTTATGGGTCTCAGGCCTACAGGAAAAATTCAAGTACATTGTGTTTGTGGTGTCTGACAGCTTTGATCCTTGGACTTTGGACCTTTCCTTTGACTGTTCCTCCAGATCCTGTTGGAGATTTTTCTACACTCTGAGCCTGATACTCTGCATTCTACAGTGTGACACACCATGTGTTTTTCATCTATGAGTTCTCTCACTGTTCCTTTTCTGGTGAGGGTTTCTTATTTTTCAGTCTTGAGGATGTGCAGAGCCTGTGACACTGTGACATATGGGCCAAACCCTCAAACTTTCTTATACCCTCTGCCTTTTCCATTCTGCACCTCTGGCCAAGGTGTCTCCTACCTCAAAGGTTCCTGTTGCATTTTATCCAATTTGCCTGCTTTCCTGACCTTCCTATTGGATGTCTTCACTGTAGGCTGTACAAATTCTCTGGTTCCATTTTCTTCCCAATGTCTCATTTGCTCCAGAAAGAATCTTAGTTCATCGCTTCCTATACTCTCAAGGAAATGACTGATTCTTTTTAAGAAAGACCACAATGACTGCTGTTTCTAGTCTTTACAGCCTTCTTTGTCAGTGAGAAAGGTGAGCAAAAGTTTGCACCCAACTTTATGTGCACTGAAGATCATGCCTAGGCTGTTCTCTCTGCAGCAGGAGCCCTGAGCAGTAGAGTAGGTCACTTCCACCATGATGCTTCTTGTTCATCTGGGGGTGAAAAGCAGAGTCTCATCGTAGAATACAAGGAGTTGGATCTTTTGTAAATTGGACAGGAACTAAGAAACAGAAGTAGGAGGAAACATGAAATCTACTGGAAGAGGTAGTAGGTACATTTATTGAAGACATGCATAGGCAGAGAATTCGAAAAAGCAAAATGCACAGGAAATACTTCAAAGAATCAACAATTGGGATCTCCTGTGATTGAAAAGATTTTGCACATCAAAAGTAATCACCAGGGCCAGGGAGATGGCTCAGCGAAATAAGCGCTTCCCTGCAAGCGCAAGAGCCTGAGTTCAATCCTTGGTTCTGCAAAAAAAAAAAAAAAAAAAAAAAGTAATCACCAACAGAGTGATAAACAAATCCTCACAATTTGGGAAATATCTTAGCCAATAGTTCCTTAGATAAGATGTCTATCTAGAATATATAAATAATTAAGAAGCAGGTCCCCAAAATACAAAGACTCAGTCAAAAAATGGACACCTGAGATGAATATGTACTATAAGGGATGGCATCTAACATAATTTCCTATTCACTTTTAGAAGTAGAAGAGACTGACGCAGAATTCCATAATAGTTTGACTCCTGCCTGAAGTATTTACATAGAAGTAGTTTTGCATAAATTACCCCATTCCTCACTCCTTCCCGTACTCTGTTAGAAACTTCACAAACATATAGGAAATGAGGAGACAGGACCTATTTAGGGCAATAAGAAGACAGACTATTTGCCCATGCTAAGCCATAAACCCCTTGTACCTACAGAATACAGGGGCAATCACATTTCTACTGTTATGAAGAACTTATAGGATACAGGGAGCACTACATTCCTGCCTGGTTTCCATAGCAACAAAGAAACTATAAAAGCAGTGGGGAACAAAGAACTGGGCCTTTTGTGTCTTCCCAGATGGGAAGGGGAGAACATAGGTTGCCAGCTAATTAATAAAAATTCGGTAATTAGTTTTAATTTGGTCTTCCATGGGTAATATATCCAATCCAGACATTACAATATTTCTCCAATGTTAAAAAACATATGCCAAATAAATACATGAAAATATGTTCAACATCACTCGTCATTTGAGAAACAAAACTTAAGACAACACCGAGATTCCATCTCACCCCAGGAAGAATGTCTATCATACAAAAATCAACTAATACCAAATTGAGAAGAGGCTCTGAGGAGAAAGGAACACTTTTCCACTGTGGATGGTAGTGTACACTGCTACAATGTCTGTGGAAATCAGTATGGAGATCCCTCAAAAAACTAGGATTGGAAGTTGCACTCAAACCAGCTATTCCTTTCCTCGGTATTTTTTCAGAAGAATTAAATGCATCATGCCACAGTGCTGTATGTATGTATGCTTCCACCCATGGCTGTGGAAGCCCATTTGGTCATAGCTATATCTTGGATACCACCCAAATGTCTATCAATTGAGGAATGAATAAAAAAGATGTGGTATTTTCATACAATGGAATATGATACAGCTATAAGGAAAGATATAGTAGAGACTTTTATAAGTACATGAATGCAACTAAGGCCATACCCTTGAGTGAAACAAATCAGACCTTCATCTGTAAACATATTTTCTCCCTAGTGTAAGAACTTGAAAGAACAAATAAAATCTGAAAGGTACAGTAGATATAGTAAAAGGTAAAGAAACTTCTGAAAAGAAATGAACAATTGGGATGATAAAAGAGCAAAAAGAAAAAAGGATGGGAACACTCATGTATGTATATATACAGGATAGGTAAGATGATTGTACTACTAACTTGCTATACTTTTTATGGAAGCAGTTAATGTTAAAAGTTTTTATTTTGGCAGTTTGCATAATTATATGTTGATATCTGAGCAACTACTTTGTATCAACAATATGCAATGTAGCACTCATTGTTAATTGTATATCATCTTATTTTTTAAAAATGTGTGTCAGTTCTAATGTCTTATCTAATATTTTTGTCTTTAAATAAAAATAAAGGTAGTTAAATTTTTTTTTAAAAAGGCATCTGTGTTAGTCATGCTTTTTAATTTCTGTATTACCTGGTGATCTGATACCTTGGAAGCCCTTTTAATCAGGGTGGCTCTCCTTCCTGAAGCTGGCTATTTCTAGGAAGCCAAGGACACCACTAAAGGTCTTTCACATACAAAGTAGCCAATCCAAGGTCATGTTCCCAACCACACACTTTACCTAACTTGTGCCAAACCAGTGTCAGCTGAAATCATGAGAACATCTAAGCCAAACTTGCTCAAACTGGTCTGCCTGGCTTCACTCACTGTTTCCTTGGGAAAACACAATAAAGGCCCCTGGGACCTGCCTCCCATGATGGGGTGTGCTCTCTTCTCCTGAGAAGTGTTAGGAATGAAACCACTTTCCACAGCAGTAGCTTCTCTGCATCTGTCAGTTCATCATACAGATTAAGCCAAATAGTAAGCATTTTGTGTTCCACTGTGTGCTGCTGGCACAACATACCCAGGACTGGATATTTTATAAAGAACAGGTATTTACTACCATAGCTCTAGAGGCTGGGAAGTCCAAGATGAACGTGCCAGCAAATGGTCTGCTGAGGGCCTGCAGTCACACATGCCAGAAGGCAAGAGACAGTGAATGCACTCCAGCAAGTCATTTTTATAGCAGCATCCATCTCCCTTCATGACCCAGAGCCCTCCCATTAGCCAGTACCTGAGCTGTTCCATGAGGGTTTTGATTTCTAACAAATTAATCTTAGAGAGGACAAAAAATAAAATAAAATAAAAAATAAAAAAGCACTGGGCTTAAAAAAAGAAATCTTCCAGGGCCAGCCAGATAGCTCAGTGGACTACAGTGCCTACAGCGACCAAGGTTCCATTCCAGCATGCTGTGCTGGCTCCACTCCCAGGACACATGGAGATGGTGATTGAGATTGGGTGTTGTGGTGCATGCCTATAATCCTATCACTTAGGAGGCTGAAAACAGGGGGATCACTGTGAGTTTGATCTGTGTAGTGAGACACTGTAGACCCTATACTAAAATATAATTTTAAAAAAAAATCTTCCAGTAATTTATCACCTCTTACACTGCTTGGTTAATATGCCTCAAATAATTTTAAACCATAGTCATGAATATTGAAGGGGTAATAATACCCATTGACAAGGTAGTAACTTGCAATTGAAAATGCTTTATATTTTACAAATATTCATCAAGCTTTCTTGCATTTTGTTATACTTTTCTCCCAGGAGCTTGATATTCTATAAACATCAGCTTTCAGGAAGTAGGCAGGTTATTATTCATCATTAATGTTCATACATGGACCTCTTCTGTCCTTCAAGAACTCTGTGAAAAGAAGTGGGGTATTTTTACAGAGTTCACAGGATATGCTATGCAAATTTATCTTTTTTCCACTTATCATCCAAACTAAAAACGTCCTTGGGATGCATTGTAATTCCTTTGCCATAATTTCCATTCTTCCTTTTTCTCTTCTCTGACTTATTTTCACACTGTCCTGTTAGTATTCCTCAATTCCCATCTAAGACTCTTTAGGCTCTTAACATGAAAGGTGAAATGAGCCTATTCTAATCTGCTCTGCTTCTCCTGCAGCAGAATCCAACAGTATCTTGTTGGCATTATAGCTTGTCTCCCAAGACCAAGCTGATATAGAACCTTTGCACAGAGCAAATCTCACTTTGTAGTCAGGGAAGAAAGAGTTCAGTTGAGTATTTTAGCTTAACTCATATACAAAGACACAAACTGAAATCAGTTACTTCTGAAAGCAAAAGGAACCTTGGCCAGGAAGTCTGCTCTGAACTGAAGGCCTTCCTCCTCTCGAAGTTCACATGCTGAAGTCTTAAACTGCTATGAGGTGGTGTTTGGAGGGGAGGCCTTAGGAGGTGACTGGGTCAAGAAGGTAGACCCCTAGCCAGTGGGATCAGTGCCCTTAGAAGGAGTCACATGAGCTTACTTGACTTTGGGGCTATTGGGTAAAACTTCAGTGAGATGCTGTCTATGAACCAGATGCTGTCAGACCTGAGGTCTGACAGATTCTTGTTTGATTTTGCACTTCACAGCCTCCAGAACTCTAA